ATAAATGAAAAGTATATTTTTTTTAGAGAAGAGGTGTTAAGATATGGTTTAGTTTTATATAATATATAAATATTTTCTGATATTTTGTTTTCTATATATTTTATATGTGATTTCCATGACAAATTTTCATCTATTATTACTCCTAGAAAATTAACGATTGGTTCCCTTTTAATAAATGTTTTATTGATTAGGAGATTGGGTAATTTTAGAGAAACATCATCACCTTTACTAGGTTTGGAAAATTGTGTTGGCTTGAGATAAATTTGGCTTGCGATAATATGGCTTGCGGTTGGCTTGCGATAAATCATGATATAAATTGCGATAAATTGCGATAAATTGAGATTAATGTGATTAAATACGATAAATTGCAATAAGTTGCGATAAATTGCGATAAATTGCAATAAATTGCGATAAATCAAATCTTGCGATAAATTTGGCTTGCGGTTGGCTGCGATAAATTTGCCCCAGAGTTTGCTTTTCATTTTATCAACATTTGCAACATTTTTGGTCATCTTTTTTGTGCTTTTAAGTAAATGGGGTGGTTGTTGATAGGACGTGTAACCAAATTGGTTCGTTGTATATGTCAATAAATATTTGATAATTTTCGGAAATTTTCAAGCCGTTGAAGGCCGAATGCCAGTCGAATCTTTCGATATGCGCAAAAATAGAGTTGTAATTGGCTTTGCTCCAGATCAGACGTTTCTTGTAGAGGTTAGAGGAATCAGTTATGTCGGGTTTCTTAGTTTTTACGGCTTTGAGAGATACTTTCCTTGAAAAAACTTTTTATGCCAATTAATCTGTCTGATTACTTGTTCAGGATTAAATCAAGAGTATTTTTGGAGGTTTCTTTCAATTACTGCAATATGTTAGAAAAGTTATAAACTAGGTCAAATCAAAGGTCTTGAAATTTGCAATCTGTTGTCCAATCGTTTGGTATGTATGCAACAGTCGCAATGCCACCTCCTACGACAACATTTGAATTTACAGTGTTGCTGAAGTTGAAGTCGCCAAACGCAAGTAAGATTGAGCAGATTACTGAGTTGCATTTGTGAGTGCAGTGCTTATGGAGCTTATTATTTCATTCAGTGTTAAGTTGTTCAGGTCGTGAGGGCGGTAGAGACAGCCTATAAGAATTGATTCGTCGGAAAATTTTAATTTGATCTAGACTTGCTCAATAGCTGATCAATTTTGGTGAAAAAACAATCAAAACTTTTCTTTGTGCAGATAGCCACTCCTCCTCCTGTTCCAATTCGAATTTTTTGAAACAGTTGGCACCGAGCTATTTTTGTGTCAGAGTTGTCGATGATGCAAGTTTTAGCAATAAAAATTGTGTGTGGTTTAAAGTGTCTATTTTGACATTTTTGACTCTTAGCTCATCAATTTTATGGAGATTTAATGAACAAGAGTTATTGGCCCAGTAGATGAGTTGTTCTGGCTTTGCTTTTGGTTGTGTTGGTTTTATAATTTTGTTTTTTGGCTATCGGAAATTATTTTTGGGTCATTGAAGTCACCGAACTTTGTCTACTGTGGTTTTTTGATGTTGAGTTTGTCAGCCATTTATTCTTTTTTAAGTTGGGTAAAAGAGTGTACTGTATATTGAAAGATAGTTTGCAGTTGAGTACTACGTTGTTTGTTGGTGTGGTAAATTGGAGATGTTGGTTGATTAATTCTAATTAGTAAAACAGTTTTCTTTTGAGTAGTGATTCTTATGAAATAGAGATTTTTAAACCCTTCTCATGTGTTCATTTTTGACAATCTGGGAGTTCAAAAAATACGCTTAATAAAAAAAATGCCAACTTAAACAAAAATTAAAATAAACAAACATGCATTAAAAAGAAAAAGTAAAACTAAAAAATTTGAAACCTCAAAGAATGATAAAGTAAAAAAAATAAGATAAAACAGAATAATAACAGCATAAAATTAATATATATTTTTTTAATGTAAAAGTGTTTCATATCAAAGAATTTAAAAATGATCAAGGTTCCTGTGTTTTTTAATCCAAGTTTAATTAATAAAAAAAAGTAGCATATAAAAGGATTTAAACTATTATCCAACACCAAGCTAACAGTTGCTTCTCATAAATATAGCAATAGTCAACCTAAGCGCTCCACGTAGTGATTCAAGTAAAGTTATTTAATGTAAATTTTTAACTGAAACGCTTTTAAGTTGATTTTTTTAATAAGGTTGGACTACTTATTGAGATGCTTTTAAAATAAATAAAAAAATATATTTATGCTTTTAATTTCTCTGGTTTATCCTTTACTTATTTTATCATTCATTAACCATGCTCTTCATTTCAGTTTATATCAAGTTGTTAAAACAAAATATTACATACTGAGAAGACTTGTTAACATGGGAAACGCTAGTAATATCGATTAAATAAATGCTGACATTTCTAAAAATTAATTTACTTGATAACATTTAAACTTTAAGGTTGAAAAATTATTTTGACATTTTTGTAAAAAAAAATTTATCGAACTTTTAATCAAACTAATTTATATTGTTCCAAGCATAAGACAAAATATTCTTTGGAATTTAATAAATATGTCAAATAAATGTGATTTAAAATGAACATGGGCAAAATTTTAGCTCAATCAAATGTTAGACTTTTACTGTTATTGTTTGTCATGCAGCAAGATGTTTTGTTGTAATACGGACAGGAATGTCAATAATATAGACCTTATACTATAATCAACACATTTAATTATTGTATTAGGTATCTTTTAAAACTGGAATCAAAAATCTAAATCTAAAAATTAAAGCTTTATCAAAAAAAAGACATTTTAATGGTATTGTTTTAACATAAAAATGACGGCGTTAGTGATAAATGTTATAAAAAATTTTCGTCAAAATTGCCTCCTCAAAATTTTTAATTTAGATGCCCTAATTAAATCGTGATGTTTTTGTACAGAACATTTATTCACAATATATATAAAGTAAAAATAATAAAGAAAATACAGCTGCTGGATCACAGGGAGTTTTTTCACCAACTAGCTTTAGTTCTAAAACAAAATCTAGAACTGATTTACTTATTCAAAACGCAATGTAAAACACATTTAATTAATAACAATTTTTTGTTTACTCATAGACTTTTACTACTAAACGTTTTTTTTGTTAGTTGATTTCCAATAATGATGAACATAGCAAAACCTTTTTTCAAAAATGAGTTAGAATCAGAGAAAAAGTGATTAAAAAGACTGAGTCCCCAAGAAACAATCAAGAAAAGTTTGCATTAAAGGTAACAGCTACATTTTTGAAAATTATAACGGCAACAAAACAAAGTATGAAATGTCAAAAAATAAAGTAATAATATACAGACCTATGGGGAAAAAATATGAGATGGTTATTGGGGCAAGATGGTATTTTACATAACAACTTAACAAAAAAATCTTAGAAAACAAGTGAAAAAAACTGTATTTACACCTTGTATTTTACAACGTCTATTGTTTTTTTAAATATTTTTCAATTAATTTTACACCCATAAGTTTTCTTTATGCCCTTAAAATAGAGTATCAATATGTTTAGTTAACATGGATTCAGTTGCGAAAGTATCCTTTGTTGTTGAGAGGGAAAATATATACTTTTCACTGCACAAACTTAGGGATAAAATACTTAAAAATAGGTGAAAATCAGGGAAAATGGGTTTTCAAAACTGCCATGAACCATGTATATTAAGTGCACTATATCATCTATATTTTTAATTTTGGAAATAAAAGTGTGTTTTTAATTTGATAGTTATTACCATATTAATTTATATTATTGCACGTAAAACATTGTTTTTAACAAACATAAAATAATTATATAATTATAATAAAGGTGTTATGTTCTTATAATAACTGTGTTTTATTAAATATATATCAATACTTAAGTGTTTTAGTTTAAACTCTGTTCATTGATTTGGTTTATACGAAATCGATCCCTAGATACAATGTGCTGACGTAGAAATAAGGTATTGGAAACATATATATCTCGATAAAACTAATCAAAACGTTGAATTTCAGTAATAAAATCAATCCAAAGACAAAATCTAAACTTTTAATCCTAGATTTAATTGATAAACCAAAGATAAATTTTGAATCTTGTATTAACTTGATTCTGATGAAAAGATTGAGTAGTTTGCTAAAGAACAGTTTCAATTACATTTTAAATATTCTTTTTTACATGTTATAAACTTAAAATATTTATAAACAAACAATTTCTTTAAGTGTTTTTGTTTAAAGAACACTTTCGAATTTGTTTTAAAAAATTATTTTTTGCACATTATAAGTTTATTATAATTATAAACATGTAATTTCTTTTTGTGTTTTCGTTTTTGTCGAATTTTCATTTATTATATAATTATAATAATAACAATAACAATATATATACATATATATATATATATATATATATATATATATATATATATATATATATATATATATATATATATATATATATATATATATATATATATATATATATATATATATATATATATATATATATATATATATATATATATATATTCTCAAAATATCTCATTCTGAGTACAGGATGGTATCAATTTTTGATATCATAAGGTTCTCATATTATGATTTCCGATCTAAGCTCAAATTGATATAACTGTGTGATTTTATTTTGATATCATATTGATCTTATAAACGTATCATGCTATGATGTCATAGATCTCACAGAATGAGACAAATATGATAAAACAATGATACCAAATGGCTGACTGGGTTACTTTCATAAATCTTTTTTCTTAAAATAAGTTAAAGATTATCTAATGTAGCTATTATAATCAAGTAAAACTAAACTATTTAAAGCTACATTTTTGGATTATATGAGGTGTGGTTTAAAACACTTTGATTCGTTTATAGTTTGTACTGTTCAAGACAAACTTTACCGACAAATAAAGTGTTTAACCCAATTAAAAAAGTTTTATCGTGAATAAAATAATATTCGAATTATCAATAAACTTTTTTTTTTTTTTTTTCAATTATAATAATAATATTTACCTTTGTATCTAGTACTTCACTTTGATCATGTTTGATAATTACATCTTCATGTTGTTTAGAGTATTTGCGTAGTACTTTAATAGTAATACTGTCTATAGACTTCCGGGCCTCAGCAGATTTAAATTCAAGACAAAAAATGACATTACCATCCTCTATTTGTTGCCTTGATTGATTATTTTCACGAACCTGAAGTCAGTATTTTATAGTATTTTTAAAGGTACATAGTAAATCATGTTTAGTTTAAATAAATATTTAATTAGTATTTTACATTCATAGTAACTTTTACTTTATGCAAATGTTATTAACCTTACCTAAACATTGGGTCAGATAAAAAACCTTACAATCTTTCAACATGTAATCATGTGCAATATGTCACATGTCCTTTTGCCTTAAAGGAACTGCTTTTTTAGGCAAAGTCTGGAAGAAGTTTATTCTTCTTAAGTAAATGCTAGTCAGGTTGTTTCAATACTAATTTGAAATATTTCATCTTTGGCAAATTTTAACAGCATTCGACTATTATCTTCTACAAAGTCTTTAAAGCAAAATTTTCGGAGATACAAAAAAATTTTTATCAAACAACCTCATACTCTTTTCTTCTTCAATAGACTGTTATTTATGTAAACGTTTTGTTTTCTGCCTTAAATTTTTTTTGTTTGAGTATATATATTTTGCTGTTTAAATATTGCAGCAAAACCAAAAAGAATAATTTATAGTTTTGATGGCCAGGGCAAAGAGAAGACAATAGTGGTCATATCACTAATTCTCGTAATGATGACGTATTTGACTTTACTTTTAAGGTTTTGCTTGAGCATTTTTTGAAAAAACTATTTTATTAATTCTTAATGAGGTTACAGCTCTTAAAGTTAGTTTAAAAGTAGTGAGGTTGAATGGTAGTATAACTTCCGAAAACATGTGGTCGTTCTCAGGGAATTCATCTTATTAAATACTGTAAAATATTAGGGTATTTGCTGTATTATGTTGTGCATAAATTGTGTTCCTCATCTCCTAATATTCTCATAAATTGGTCTAACTTTAATACATCCTCAAAGATTAGGTCAGAACTATTTGCAAAGAGCAAACTGCACTCCTATTATTCAAAAGAAATACTTTATTCTACTATTAGACATCCCGAAGTTATTTTTCAATGAATTTTTTTTTTTTTTTTTTTTTTTTTTATTTTAATTCACCTCCTCAAGGCCGAGAAGGCCACTACAGACGAGGAGGCTACTTATTTGTGGCTATAACCCTCTCTCAACTCTATAACTCTGAAACACGAACCTTGACGAACAAGGCCGCTGCGCGGAGAAACGAGTTGAGCGCGGTACTACCAGGGACGTGGTAAGAATTGAACTCGGAACCACTCGAATTACAATGATTTGCCAGGACCTGAACTACATTTTCAGTTCCTGGCAAATTTTTTGTCAAAGCTTTACAATAGTACTTCAGCCAACTCACTTTAACACCCTCTAAACAGTTTAAAAAATGCTTATCTAAATCTTACTTTAATGGCTGCTAGAAAATGGCATCTTAGCTCCAGATGTAAAAATTGATTGGTCTAATACCTTTCGCTAACACCCAATCAGTCTTTCTACTCTTATTAGCAAGATCTTTGATTTTCCAATTAAAAACTTCTAATTTCATTTTTTTGAGTTTAACTGCAAAAGATGATCTCATTCTATTGATGACTTGCTAACAGTTATTGCAAAAAGATTTTATCATGCATTAAACTAAAGTGGTATTATGCATCCTTGAAAACTGTAGTGCAACGGTTACTAATCTTGACATATCTAATACTTCCAATATTCTGGCATACTGGTCTTCTCATTTTTATTTAATTTTTTATTTTTTGTATGTATTTAGGTGCTCCCAGAACTTCCTATGGTTTTATCATATATTAAATTATATATATATATATATATATATATATATATATATATATATATATATATATATATATATATATATATATATATATATATATATATATATATATATATATATATATATATATATATGCATATATATATATATATGCATATATATATATATATATATATATATATAATATATATATATATATATATATATATATATATATATATATATATATATTATATTCATTTAATAATATTAAACAGCTTTTTAGAGTGAGATATAAATGTATTTATACAACTTGATACGAAGTAGAAATATCAAACATATTTGCAATAAAATTGTGAGCCATACCTTTTTCCTTTATATTAATGTAAATAATTTTTTTAAAAATCTTATCATGCACAGTGTGTTAATCTTGTTAGTCAAGTTTTGTTATCAGTCATAATTTTTAAATCAGTCCATATTTGTATAAGCAAAATCAAAAATATTTTACAATATAAAAATCTTTACAAAAAGTGTATGGGTTGAATAATGGATGAATACAACAAAGTAATAATATTTAGAGGTCTTTTTTTAAAATTAAAATTAAACTGTTTTAATTTGGGTAAGGACAGCTAACAAAAATAATTGTAAAATCTCTACTATCTTGATGATGCGAAGGTTTTATTTTGTTTACTAGTTTATTTTAATATTAATTTGTAGTATTATTATGTTAATACATTACTAGTTTTATTACTAATGTTCGAAGTATAACATTTTTATAGGATAAGGGTAGCTTTTAAACAAAATTTTATTAAGAAAAACTAAGCGGCTGCCTAGTGTGGGAAGAAATAATTCTGCTGCTAAAAAAGAGTAATGAATTTCTGCATACTGTTGAACTCTAAAATAAGCAAATTATTAAATGAAATGATCAAACTTTGCACTAATGTTAGAAAGAGTTACCAAGAGTATCAAATATTAGTACGCTTATGTATGAAGATGTCAGGGAACAAGTTAAAACGTATTAGAATTAATGAAGAAACATTTTTAAATTTAGATAATATTGTTTTGGCTTTTAAATGTAAGGAGCTGATACGTGGCAGTATCAGCAACAATTCTTAAATCAAAAACCAAAAAACTTTTGAAAAAGTTAATACAAATGGATTTAAAGCATTTGATGGTTGGCTTGATCGTTCGAAAAAACTAAAACAGAGTGACATCAGAAAATTTTTCAATTTATAATGTATTATTTTTACTTTTGAGATCAAAATTTTTAATAACTCGAATTGTTTTTACTTATCAACCAAAGTTCGTGTTATAAAATGTCTCGATAACTCGAAAATTCACTAACTCGAACTATTATTTAGGTCCGTTGGAGGTTCGAGATATTGGGAGTTCACTGTGTTTTTATTTAAGTAATCTTAATTGCGTAGTTTAAATTATAAATTTAAACAGTATGTTATAGTATGTATGATCTGGTGTAATTTCTTCCATAAATTCTTTTTCATAGTTTATCAAAAACAATGTCATACACATCAAATAACAAATCAAAAACATTTTAAATTCTTATGTCTTAAACATCATCTTTAACTTTTTTTTATAATTTTAAGTTTCGAAAACAATTGTTTACATATTACTTGAGTAGGAGGAATTGTTATAAGAAACTTGCATACTTTAAATTTTTTTATTTTTCTTTAAACTTGCATACTTTAAATACATTTTTTTTCTTTAAACTTGCATACTTTAAATACATTTTTTTTCTTTAAACTTGCATACTTTAAACATTTTTTTTTTCTTTAAACTTGCATACTTTAAACATTTTTTTTTTCTTTAAACTTGCATACTTTAAATATTGTTTTTTCTTTAAACTTGCATACTTTAATCATTTTTTTTTCTTTAAACTTGCATACTTTAAATACATTTTTTTTTTTCTTTAAACTTGCATACTTTAAAGACATTTTTTTTCTTTAAACTTGCATACTTTAAATATTTTTTTTTCTTTAAACTTGTATACTTTAAATTTTTTTTTTTTCTTTAAACTTGCATACTTTAAATTTTTTTTTTTCTTTAAACTTGCATACTTTAAATTTTTTTTTTTCTTTAAACTTGCATACTTTAAATTTTTTTTTTTCTTTAAACTTGCATACTTTAAATACATTTTTTTTCTTTAAACTTGCATACTTTAAATACATTTTTTTTTCTTTAAACTTGCATACTTTAAAAACATTTTTTTTTTCTTTAAACTTGCATACTTTAAATATTTTTTTTTCTTTAAACTTGCATACTTTAAATATTGTTTTTTCTTTAAACTTGCATACTTTAATCATTTTTTTTTCTTTAAACTTGCATACTTTAAATACATTTTTTTTTTTCTTTAAACTTGCATACTTTAAAGACATTTTTTTTCTTTAAACTTGCATACTTTAAATATTTTTTTTTCTTTAAACTTGCATACTTTAAATTTTTTTTTTTTCTTTAAACTTGCATACTTTAAATTTTTTTTTTTCTTTAAACTTGCATACTTTAAATATTTTTTTTTCTTTAAACTTGCATACTTTAAATACATTTTTTTTCTTTAAACTTGCATACTTTAAATACATTTTTTTTTTCTTGAACACTTATTGTTATCATTTTTATGAGAGTATTTAAAATCTTCAAAGTATGAATCTTCTTGGAACTTGCTTTGGTTTTGGTTTGGAAATTGTTTCGGTTTTCATATACATCTTTAATATTAGTTTGGATACTTGAGACATCTCTCTATCTCATATGTTTTGGTTATCTCTATCTCCTATGTTTTGGTTAGTACTTGAATTTTCTCCAAATGATTTTGGAATAGTTTGTTATCTCTTTTCCAGGAGTTCTTATTCTATATAAAGGTCTGACTAATCTTCTTAAACTACACTGGATACAAATTCATTGTAAAGATTCCCTTTGGTTATCTTTTAAAGACTATTGTTCTATCAGTTTTTTTCCAAGCTTGAATATAATCTAGGCTAGATGTTTTTCAGTAATCAAATAGAGCAGTAGTAAACTTAAATATTACCAAAAACATCAAAAATCATCATTGTCGTAATACTGTTTCTAAACGGATAAGTCGACCTTGTATTTTTTAGCTGCACTTCTTACGCTGTTAGAAAAATCATTAATAACGGAAATTTAAAAATGTGCAAACATAATAAGCACATATGAAAACTTCTATTATCATTCTTGGTTTTTTCATTCCACATAATGATACAACCAAATCAAAATCTTAATAACCCCATCATTTTTAGACAGCCATCGAGTTTACCAAGATTTATTCAATGTGACGGACGACTGGGATACTTCTAATT